CAGCAGCATGCAGGGCCTACCTGCTCATAGGCAGGCTGGACGATGACCACGGTCGTGTATGCGTCATCCTGACGCTAGCAGCAGGGCGGCGTCTATGCCCCGTGTGCGGTGCGGACAGGCATGTCACTGGTGGTCAGCTGCACTGTCTCGTGTGAGCCTGATGTTTCTGATGGCACCTCTGCCTCAGAATGCAGCCCCTAGTTCCCTGTGGAGGGAGAGCCGGGGCGTTTGTCTCCTGTCACCCCATCTGGGTTAGGCGGCTGTAGTCGGGTACCTTTGGGGGGTGCAGATGTGTGGACCACGGGGCTGAAGGCTGGGAGTCCGACACCAGGATGCCGGCAAGGACCATCTTGCTGGTTATGTCCCCACATGGTTTCCTCAGTGTGCACGTGGGGCGGGGCCCCGTGTCTCACTCTTCCTGGGGAGCATTGAGGCTCACGGGCCCCACCCCACAGCCTCATCTAACCCGTCTCCACTTGCCAGTATGGTGGATCGTTGGGCTTCTGGGATAGAAGGACTCCAGAGCACCTGTCTGTCTCAGGAGGGATGTGAGACGTGGGACAGTGCTGCTTGGGGGAAGAATAGGGTTCATGGTGCTTTGGCCCAGAGACCTACTCGACCGTGTGTGTCACATGAGATGTGGCCTCTGGGGTGCGGGGGCAGACAGCTGGGGGGGTGTTGAGCTCACTCCAGGAGGGGGGCAGTCTTCTGGCAGGGTTGGGGCAGGCAGCCGGGGGAGTGTCGAGCAGACTCCAGGGGGGGCGGGGGCAGGTGGCTGAGGGGTGTTGAGCAGACTCCGGGGTGGGGGGCGGGGGCAGGCAGCTGGGGGTGTTGAGCAGACTCCAGGGGAGTGTTGAGGAGACTGCAGGGGGGGCAGGGGCAGGTGGCTGGGGGGCTGCAGCCTGGGTGGAGCTGGTCCCAGTGGCTGTTGCTCAGTGGGTCGTTTGCTGAGTGCTCCCTGCTCACTTGAACTCAGTCAGAAGTTCTTTCTTGTCCATCGCAGTAAACCCAACAGTAATTTTTGTTGTTCTGCTCAATGAGTTTTCCAAACGAAAGATGGAAACGGTAGGAGCCGAGTACACAGTTGGGGGGCAGGGGAGCGAGGGAAGCCTGAGCTCTGCTTCCTGGTCGTCTGCATCCTCAGTGGGTGTTTTAGCCATGAGGGTGATGGTGGGCACCCTCTCCCTTCTCCAGGGACAGGGTAGTGCTTGTACCCTGTGTAATTAAAGCTTGTCTTATTTTCCTGCTCCATCTCACCCACTCCCTACCCACTCCACCTGCCTCTTCTAGAAGCCTGAGGCCTGGCGCCCACAGGGAGGTGGCAGCTGTGGACTTGACTCTGGCTGAGTTGTTCCATCCTCTCTCCCCACCTCACCCCCCACTTGACCGGACGGTCTTCAGACTCATGGTTAAGATTTGTTCCCAGAGACGCCGCCTCTGAAATGCTGGGCTGGATAGCACGTGTCTGCAGACTTGCATTTTTGCTTTCTTGTGTTTTTTTAGGCTTTGTTTTCCTGCCCCCGGACTGTGTTTGAGGCTCAGACTCCGATGCTGCAAGGAGGCACGGAGCAGAGGGCACAGGCTGCTTGTCCTGCGGCCTGCCCTGTGGTGCCGAGACCAGGTCCCTGGGGCATCTCCCTTCGCCCGGTCTATAAATCTGGTTTCTGTTGCTGGCCTGTCAGCTCCGGAAGCTCCAGTTTGCCACCCTGGCCGTAGGATGTTTCCTAAAGCATTGGGTCCCTGGTCTGGAGCCCCGACTCCTCCTGTGAGGAATCTCCAGGCTGGGCCTCGCACTCTGGGCCCCAGGAACACGCAGGAAGTACTGTTTGCTCAGTTCTCTTTGGTTCTGTCCATGTCCACTGGGGTTCCTTGGAGGTTGTGCTGGTGTCTGACCATCCTGGGCAGGAACTCAAAGTGGGATCTGAGGTAGGAGCTTCGTGTTCTCATCCTCGGGTTTAGAGGCTTAGGAATCGTTATTTGTTTTTGGCATTTGCTGTACAAACGTATGAAATAGATTTTGTGCTGCTGGGTCTCCTGGCGGGTTGTTGGTTTGGGGCGTCTTCCTCTCGCCTCCTCGTCTTTCTGTCATGGGAAAAGCTGCTCTTTGAATTAACATCCAGATTTGGAGAAGTCCACTGGTTGAGTTGATTGCATTACCTTAACCAGCTGGGTTCAAGCAGAAACACACACACACCGGTCGGCGACCTTGGCTCCTCCAGGTGGCCTCGGGTGTGGGGTCTGGGCCTGTTTCTGGTCACATATCGAAGCTGAAAGCTTGTCTTCTGAGTGCTTGAGGGTTTTCTGGTTGGTTTGTGTTTTTGGGTTGTGTGTCTCTGTCTGGGTGGGTTCTTGGTTGGGTTCAGAATTTTGTTTCTAAATATTACTGAAAAGTCCTTGGGTTCCTTGCATTTATTTTAGATTTTGCACCAGTTTCACATTATCTCAGTTGGGTATTAAACAGAGTTTCAGAATTGGCAGAATGTAGAGAAGAACCAGATGTGTACACTCCAAAAAAACAGCGCTGGTAGATCCAGGGTTCCCTCGGTTGGCTGCTCCCCATCCACGCCCGCTGCCATTTTCCTTTGGTCTGAAAATAACAGGCTGTGCTCCAGAAACACGCAGGAAGCTTGCAACTGAGGCCAGTCAGGTGGCGTGAGCCACACCCAAGTCCACAAAGGCGTGGCCCCTGGGCTCCCACTCCGGGTCCAGCCCCGGGAGCCTGGCGTGCTGCTCCTGGCTGCTATCCCAGGAGTTCGCTGCTGCCCAGTTAGATATTCCTGTGGGCCCGGCCCCCACCCCACCCCACCCCACCCAGTGGCCTGCGAGCAGGAAGGAGCCACAGCTCACTGCTGGGAGAAGTGGGAGCCGGTCCAGGTGTCCTGGGCCCTCGCTATCCCTCAGGACCTCTGACTGCAGGCTGGCCCCCTGCCAGAGTGAGGCTCCCAGCTGGTGTCCAGCGGGCTCACGGCCTTGGGTGCTGCGGGGATCCTGCTGCTTTGAGCTAAAGACTTGACGTCAGCAGGCGTCCTCGTCACCCATTAGGATCCAGGTCAGCACGTCCCGTCCCCGCTGGACCGAGTTTCAGGAGGCTGCACGGCCCAGCCTGGGGTGTTTGTGCAGTTGGCCTGCGAAGCACTTTGTTCGGTTTGTCCTCCTGGGAGAAGCGCCCTGCTCCTGGTGCTGTGACCGTTGGTGGGGTGTCCACCCCTGCCCCTCCCTCAGGAGAGGCCTGGGCTGCAGAACTCCCTGAGGCCCTTTGGGTTGTCCTTTGTGGGGTCATGCGGGCCCCGGCCGGGTGTGCTTCCTGGCAGAGCTGTGATGTCCTAGCTCCCAGTGGGGGGGCTCCTGCCAGAGCCTCAGAGCCAGTGGAGGTGGGGGGCATCGCAGAGCCAGCTTCCTGACCACCCCTCACAGCCTGCTCCTGTCTCAGTCCTGTCCAGCTTTGAGAAGACATGTTCTTAAGTCAGGGGCGAGTGGCACAGCTGGGCTCCTCATGGGGCCACCCTCCCTGCAGGAGGCACTGTCGTCGCCCCTCTTTACCTGCAGGGGTGTGTGTCACGTGACAGCAGAGAGTGCCTAACCCATGCTGCGTTCTTCCTGTGCGTACACACCTGTGTGACATCTAATCTGTAAATCAGGTGCAGTGAGAAAACCTCATGTGGCCAGCGTTGCTGCCCTGGGGCTTTGGGGCCCTCGTGAAGTAAGGGAAGCCCGTGACCCCTTAACAGTTGAGACACCGCTGAGTGCTCATGAGCGGGGCGGGGGGGGGGGGGCGCACAAGGTCAAAGGTCAGGATGGTGCAGGGTGTCCTCTTGGGGCTCAAAGCAGCAAACCTTAGGACACGTTTATTTCTGGAATTTCCCCTTTACTATTTTTGGACCGCAGTTGATTGCAGGTAACTGAAACCTGGGACGAGAGGGCAGCTTTGTGGGTGGAGCAGCCCTGAAGGCCGGGACACCAGGCGTTTCTTGGTAGAGCGCGGAGGCCGGCCTGGTGGTGCCTTTGCTCCAAGCTCGCATCTCGTGAGAAGCAGGCCCTCCTCCTCAAGGGAGTCAGAGCCGCTATTCCCAAGGAGACGCTTGTCTCCATCGCCACCCTCGTCCCCCAAGTTGAGGAACAGACCCCTCCCTGCACTTTTCGGTGCCGAGAGCGGCTTTCTTGGAAGAGTCTGGAGGGCCCACAAGGTAAGGGTTCGACTCATTCCTGAGTTGCTTATCAAGACCAAACCAGCATGGGAATGTCAAGGGCTTGGTGTTTGGAATGAACTCCCAGTTGAGAACATTTTACTATTTTTATTTTTATTTACCCTCTAGGCTGGTAATGGGCCTGCCTTCCTTATTATAAATGTTACATGTTTAGATTCCTGGGGTTTCTGACTTTGTAATTCTTAAGATTTAATCAGCTGTGCAGGTCGTGTGAAAAGTCACTTTACAGGCAGTGCCGAGAGGAAAAGCTGTTAGAGTACCACAGATGCCTTCTGTTTGTAGGGGTGGCAGCTCGGCACCAGGACCAGAGTGTCCTGGTTTCATAAGTTTCATTAAAAGATAGTTTTTGACTTGACTTTAAATTCATATATTAAGGGGTCTCTCACCAGGACAACAACAACAAAACCAGGATGATGACGTAATACCTAATGCGTGTGATCGAGTCTAGGACCCGCAAAGGGCGGGGTCAGGGCAGGAGACTTACAGGGGTGACAGCAAGGGGGAGCGGCTCACAGAGCATCCCTGCACAGGGTGAGTGCCAGCTGAGCATCTGCACTGCCTGACTCACGCCCACTCGGCAGCTCATCAGTCCCCCCACACCTCAGGTGGGTCACTGTGGGATTCGGGGCCTGCCAATCACAAGCCTGTTTCCGCCCCAGCTCTTGCCAGGGTGACTCCAGACTGGGGGTCTAGAAGTCTCCAGGTTTCCAGGATACGGCTACACATTTGAATCGCTGTTGTTCAGTCATTGAGTCCTGTCCTCTGTGCTGACACGTGTCTCCTCTGTGTCTCAAGGTGCTCCAGGGGGCCCAGCTGATAGCCGTAGCTTCTTCGGACCCGGCTGCCACAGGGGTGGACGGCTCGCCGCTCCAGGGCAGCGACATCCAGGTCCAGTATGTCCAGCTGGCGCCGGTGACCGACCACACCGCTGCGGCCCAGGTGGGTCCTCCCTTCGGGAAGGGCACAGGGCCCGGGGCTCCTGCAGGTGTGGACACGCTTGGGCCTTTCTACCTCGGACCTTCTTCTGTGAGGAAGGTAAGTGACCGTGAGAGGCGCCCGTGTGGACCTAGGCTCTCACTTGGGATTCTGTCTCTCGTAAGTGCCTGGAAGTGTGAAGGTGAGAAGTTGGTTCCTGGCCCAGGGACCAGCTTGAAGCCAGTTCTCAGGCACATGTTTACCTATAAGTTTAGAGGCCAAATCAAGTATACCTGAGGCCTTGCTGTTCCTCAGGTTGAGGCAGGGCCAGCCCAGGATCCGAGGTCCTGCAGGCCCCCATGTGGGTTTGTAACCCCCAGTGATGGTACTTGGTCAGAAGACCATCATGGCCTCCCCTGGGTCTGGGGGAGCCAGACCTGGACCCCCGTGTGGTGCCCAAGCCTGTGGGACAGGCAGAATCATCGGGGTCTGTCAGGGCGTGGTCAGGCTCAGGCCGCTGGGGTGGGGGTGACACGGGTGTGCTCTCTCAAAGCCCTCAAACCCAGCCCCTCTGGAGGAGGCCTGTGCTGAGCCTTCAGATGGGTGGGCAGACACCCCAACTCCTGCCACCCCCACCATCGGGAAACACTGTTGTGTCCATGGGATGTTTGCACTGAGAAAGCACAGCCTTGAGCCACAGTCGGAGGAGTAGCGCCAGCCCCACCGGGGACTCTGCCTCACCTGCGTGGCCCTGGGACCCATCCAGCTAAAATTCCTGCCAGGGGAGCCCACCTGCATTACCAGTGGCTTAGGGAGTCCAATAAATCGCCAGTCTATGTGGGGGCCCCCCATTCTTGGTGGCCGAGATGAGTGGTCAGTGACTTATTCTAAGATTGTATTTTTCCCTTTAACTTATCCTAAACGTGTGAATATGCTGACCACTTGGAGGGTGCCCCCAGTGAGAAGCAGGGTGGGAATGGAACTTAATGCTGGTTGTGGTGGGCGGCTGGGGCACTTGCGGGAGGGTTAAGTGGGTGGGCGGCTGGGGGCAAAGTGGAGGCCCCGCAGAGGGACCTCGGCGTCCTGGGATTTGTCAGTCCTGGGCCACCAGCCCAGGTGTGTGTTCTACTCTGTGCCTGAAAACCACACATGTCTGTGACCGGGCATGGCCTGGGCCCCTTGATGTAAAGGCCTCTCCCCTCTTGCAGGCGGCTGACGCCCTGCAGCCCACCCTGCAGCCCGAGATGCAGCTGGAGCACGGGGCCATCCAGATCCAGTGAGGTTGCTGACCCGCCCAGACCCAAGCCACGCCGCCGCTGCGTGCTGACCCCTGCACGCTGGCCCCTGCCACCCACACCGTTCACACGCGCCCGCCCCTCGGCTTTGCACGGGAGGGGCCTGCCCGCGTGCTGCAGAAGTGCATCCATGCACCCGTCTGCGGGGAGAGTGCCCTGGGAAACGAAGACAACGGTAGCCCCTGCCGCCCCCGCCCGGAGACCCTGTTTCTTTTGATCTCCTCGCACGTCCAGGGAAGGAGCGGGAAGCACAGTGCGGTTGTGTCAAGCGCACGCTGGAAATCAAGAACTGCGATATTTTTCTCTGTTCAAACAGCTTTTTTTAATTTGCTATGGTGTTTATAACAAAAAAGAAAATCGAAAAAAAAATGGAGTAGCAGAAACCTTTTGCTGTGTGCTCTGTTCAGTGTAACAAGGATAGATGTTCACAGGAGACGACTAATGATTTTGATGGAGATGTTGCTTACCTACTTTTTTAGGGGGATGGATGCGCTCAGCGCTGTAATTGTGCATTTCTAATGAAATAAAATGTATTTATGACCATGGCAGCTATCGCATTGTTTCCTCCTGGGAGCTGCCCCCCTCCCTCGCCAAAGCCAGCCTTGCTTCTCCCTCCTCTGGGCGCTCAGCATCACCCCAGGCCTGACATGGCTTCCTCCAGCCCCAGAACATTCCAGCTCTGGGGGGTCCTTGGAGGAAGTCGTGTCCAAAGGAGCTGTGTTGTATATAAACAGGAAAGAGAAGGGCGGGAAAGGAACCGAGTTCCACACAGAAGCCCCTGAGGGGGTTTGCGTTAACCATGGCCCACGGGTCTGGCCTGCTCTGCCCCTGCCGTCTGTTAGCTAGCGAAGTCCCCACAGCAGCTGTGCTCACTGACTCAGAACGTGGCCATGGCACTGCTGCCAGCGAGCCTTCCTGGGTGTCCCCTCAGACCTGCCTTCTCTACCCGACCCTGTAGGGTCCTGGGCTGGGTGATGATGAGGCTCGCCATGGGCTGTGGGCAGTCCGGGGTGGATGCCAGCATCCCTCTGTTCTCTGTCCCCATCTGCCCTTCAGGAACGGGCAGAGGCCAGCCCTAAGGGGGGAAGTGGGAGGAAGGAGCTGATGCAGGTAACATGTGTCTGATCCCAGAGGAAAGAACAGAAGGTGGTGACAGGTGAGGGGATTTGGGAAGCAGAGCAGATCCCGAGCAGAAACACAGACAAAGTCACACCTGGACGTGCAGAACCTCAAAAGGCAGAGACAACGCAGAGGCAGCCAGAGACGAAGGACAGGAGAGGGAACGTCAGAAGCAGAGGCATAGAGAGAGATGCCCCACACGGAGTCGGGCCTTTAGTAGGACAGCAGTTGAGCAACGCAGGTGACAGTGCCCATCTGGCCAGCGTTCCACCTCGAGGGGCGCACCCAGGAGAACAGACACCATGTGTTGTAGACAGGTACCTGTGTTCAGCAGCGCTAGTCACAGTGGCCAGAGGTTGGGAGCTGCCGAGCATCCCTCAGCCGAGGTCCACCCGCACGGCAGCACTGTCACTTGGCCATGAAGGGAAAAAAGGAAGCACCAACACAGGCTGCAAGGTGGAGGAGCCGTGAAGGCACGCTAAGAGAGGGCAGCTGGGCCCAATGCACTGCACGTGGTGTGGTTCTCTTTATTATTTTTCTAACGGTAGGAACTTGATTTGTATACTCTGTTGTTTTGGCTGCACCGGGTCTTCGTTGCTTTCTCTAGTTGTAGGGAGCAGGGGCTGCTCACTAGTTGCGGTGCTTGGGCTTCTCATCGCGGTGGCTTCCCTTGTTGCTGCTCCTGAGCGCTAGAGCGCTGGCTCGGTAGCTGTGGAGCACCGGCTTAGTGGGCGGGATGTGGGATCTTCCTGGACCAAAGATGGAACCCATGTCCCCTACACTGGCAGGTGGATTCTTAACCAGCGTTAAGTGTTTAAATTGGTGGTGGTGTTTTTTTTTTTAAATAATAAATTACACAAAGAGCCAAAATGTGCTGCCGGTAGGCTTGCACTGAAACATTTTAAAACTGCACTTCTGGCAGAAGGAAAGTGGGGCCAGATGGAGGACCTGAGATGCGGGGAAGAAAGTGGTAAAATGTGTTGAGTCGTCTAGAAAATGGACTGCACAGAAGAAAGTAATGTCTGTGGGGCTTAAAACGAAAAGAAAGAAGTAGTGTGTGCAGAGGGAGAAGTGGTTGTCAGAGGATGAGATGGTCCGATGGCATCACCGATTCAGTGGACATGAACTTGGGCAAACTCTGGGAGATAGTGAGGGACAGGAAAGCCTGGCATGCTGCAGTCCATGGGGTCGCAAAGAGTTGGACATGACTGGGTGACTGAACCATAACAAGAATGTGCTGGAGGGAGTTTTCAGAAAGATGGTAGGAAGTTAGTAAACTCAGTCCATTAAGTTGTATTCCCCATCCATTAAAAGACCAGGGGCAGTAGCTACAGCTTCCAAACTAATAGGGAGGGAGTTGCCATGAGGAAAAAGTACCCCGTGGATCCAAAGAAGGCAGGCAAGGAAGTGGGCACAGGGTGGGGCCTCCTCTTGGAGAGCGGGGTTTCCCAGGTCTTGTGTTGTTGGGTCCCCGCTGCCTGCTGAAGCAAACACGATCCTAGTGAAAGGAAGGTAATGTGGAGTTCTGTCCACAAGCAGTTCTGCACACTTACTACCCAGTGCACTGTCAGAAATAATCGGGCAGATGAGAGAAAGCACAGACAAAACCAACACAGCGGGCGGTGGGTGTGGCACTCACCCCAGGCTTTCTACCTGCTTATGTTGTTCAGAGAATTTAAACTGACCTGGAAACTGTCTCAAAGTACAAAACCGTCATTCTACAACTTTAGTAGAAAAATCAAAGTTAAGATTTCACTATGTAGGTATCAGGCAGAGCTGTGAAGATCACTGGCGAACTGGAAAATAAAGTGGGAGAAGAGAGCCAAAATGAAGAATGTTAACCAAACGCTCAAAGAAGGCCTTATCCAATCCTTTCTCAAACTCTTCCAGAAAATAAGATGGGACATTTCCCAGCTCATTTTATGAGGCTCATATATCTCTGGCATCAAACCTCAGAAGATAAAGTAGAGACAGAAAATTACAGAACAATCTTACTCAGAGGAAAAAAATGTATGCAAAATACTAGCAAGTCAAACCCAGCAACCCACAGGCAGGAGATCATTTGCTCCCTGACTTGCTGGGACCAACAAGAGACACGTCGGCTTGAGATTTTATTTTATATCCAGGAAACGTGGCCGGGGGAGCACTGGTTACACAATCTTCCCTGAAAGATCCACCCCCCACCCCCCCACCCCCCCCGCCGCCAGCCGTGCTTTCTCTCGCCCCCACACCCCCTCTGGTTGCAGCACAAACGAACAGGCCAGGAAATTCTGAGGTCTCTGCTCAGACCCGCCTGGGTGGGCTCAAAACTCAGACCCCCCTCACCTGGGTAGGCCTTCCTTGGGCCCCAGCGAGTCTCATTTCAGAAGGGCCTTTCCCTCACCGTCCCACGGGGCCCAGTGTTTGAAGTCACTGGGCAGTAATCCTGGCCGGGGTTCTGCTTTCTGAACTGTGCCAGGCAGGGGGTGATAAAGGGCCCGGATCCACACTGGGGCTGAAGGGAGCCCCTCCCTCCGTGTCCATAGGCAGCTAATGTGGGAACCCTGTTTTGTCCTTGACCGTGGGCACTGTGAGGCGGGGCGCGGCCCCCACGCCAGGCAGGGTGGAGCAGAGCCCCCAGTGCCCTGGCTCGGACCCAGCTGGCCTGTTAGCCTTGAGGTTTCTCAGTGATGCCCCAGTGGGCCCAGGGGCTTTGAGAAGCTTGGTGATCCTCCTGAGAGAGCTGGGGACAGTGGAGCCGATGGTTTAGAGGAAGGAGTCAGCGGCCACAGTGTCCTTTGCTTAGGACAAAGCGTCCCTGAGTGGAGCCTCCTCTCTGCCCGTTTCCTCCTCTCTGCCCATTTCCTCTGGCAGAAAATTGGGAAGTGGGTCAGGCTCTGGCTCCCACTCCAGTGGCATCAAAGACCCCTTACCCCACTGCCCTGTTCTAAGACGGCACCAGATGACACAGGCCGTACTCCGCCTGCCCTCGCTTATGCCTTTCAGCAAATCCACACCCGAAGCCCTGGGGCAGTGAGCTGATGGGCTTTACAAGGAGTGAGGTTCACCTGGAGCATTTCCAGCTCAGGTCTGGCTCCTCCTCTTCCTCACAGCTGCGGGAGGAGAAGATGAGGCAGAGGGTCCTGGGCGCTGCACCGGCAGGTGGGAGGAGGGAGGGTCACTGCTGTGAGTGTGGCTGCTGGGTGCCCAGGTCGGGTCTCTAGGTCAGCTGCCCTCTCATTGGATGGAGGGGCAGAGGGCCAAGGGCTGGCGGCGGGTGGGTGGGTGGGGTCTGTGATGCCCAGCGGAGGCCAGGGGTGGGGTAGGGGAGGGTAGAGAGAACTGGGCAAGCCTGGCTCACCTGCACAGCTGGATGGCAGCCTGGGGTTCCACGAGGACTCAGCTGTCACCCTGGAACCAGGCTGCAAACCCAGGTGGGCAGAGCTGGTAGGACTGGCTGCAGGCGGCCCCGCTGCCTGGCTGGACCTGAGCCCCTGCCTGACCCTGGGAGGGACCCGCAGGGGCCCCCGCCCCGGCCTCTGAGGCTGCGCTCCCCTGGCTGTGACTGTCCGCAAAGTGTGCTCGGCGATGTCTGAGCTACATTTGGTTACGACCACCGTTCCACCCCCCACATCACCTCCCTTCCTGGCACCCTTGGAGCAGTGGCTCCGGCTCGTCTGGGGCCTGTCCCAGGGCAGCGGGCCGGGGAGATGGAGCATTTGGGTTTGGTGGGATGTGTTGATGGGGGTTTGCTGTCTCTTCTGGTAGAACTGAGCACTGCTGGCTGTGCTGGGTGTAGGGGTAGCATCCAGGGAGAGTCTGAACGCCCAGGCCTGACGCAACAGTGGTGATCTGGGACATCTCCAGCATCAGGTGTGCATTGCCGT